CAAGTGTTTGAAGCCTGAATGTGTGGGCGGATCAGCATTGTGGATGTTCCGTCTAGTGGCATCTGTCTGTAATCTCCCCAGTGTGGGGGCAGATGTGCAATGGATATCCTGTGCCGCTGGGAACCTGTGGTATAAGGAATCTGGAAGCTGAAACACCGGAATGTACTCGTATGAATTCTTGTCTGCCTCGGGCAACCGCCATCACTTGAGGCGGAGTGTGGGAAAAAACCTGGAGACGGAGACTAACTTAATAAAGGGGCATAATGGAAAACCATGTGTTGACATGGTGGGGATGGGGTGGGGGGGGTTCTAATCCTTAGAGATTTCAAATGGATTCCTTAATACAAAATGTCCTTGTTCATTTTTCCGCCTGCCTTTCCCAGGACATTGAGCATAGCTGTTGCATGTCTTTCTCTCTTGCTCTTTTTCCCACTCTGTCCCAACTGAGATGCATTAACTCAACCCCAACCAACAACTTAACCCAAGACCCTCCTGGTCTCTGGTGTTTCACTGTTCAGTGAGTGCACTTATCCACTGCAAATCTTCAGAGTGCTTCCTATTGGGGCTTTGTTCCATCGTGATGTGCTTTCGGAGTGGAGTTCCTCCAGTTGGCATGACTAATGGATGTTACCCTTTGGATGAACTTTCCACTGTATGGCAGTGTAGCAGATCGAAGTGCTGCATTTTCATACTGAATATCCATGATGATTAATACTTACAGTGCCGTTGGGAGTTGAGAAAAGCACAATTATTGTTCTTGCCTAGTTTTTCTTCCAGATGTGTTACTGGTAAAATACATTGTGTATCATAGAGTTGCATAGAATCTTGCAACATGGAAATGAGCTATTCAGTCCAAGTTGTCTGGACCAGTGTTTATACTCCACACAAGCCAACATCCCTCCTAATCCCTTCTCCTATACTTCTCTATTCTCTCCTTCCTTACGTGTGCATTCTTTCCTCTTAAATACATTGATGGTTTTTGACTCAAACCACAGCTTCTCTTTGAGCTCCACATTCTCGCCACCCTGGTGTGCAAAGACCCTTTTAGATCAGACTCTCCTGTATGTCTGCCGCCTCGTTTTAGACTCAGGATATCTCAGAGCTCAGTATTCCATCTTAAATCCTACCCATTTATAAGTGGCGTCTGAATATTTACCTGTGAACACTGAGTACTGATGGCATTGGAGAGCTGCTGAGCTGGGTGATGGAGGGATCTTATTGCTGCTGCTGTTTTTAAATTGAGGATTGCAGACGTGCTTTGTGTTAATTATGACTCTACACAGCTTTCGGCTCGCTCACTCCTCCCCTATAATTTTCAAACTCGTGGATTCAGTAGAGCATGCTTGAGGGGAATGCTTCCTGTGCAAAGTATAGTCTTCATAATTGGAGGGAAAAAAATCTACTGTTTACTGCCATTGATTTTTATTAACCAATTTCCCTCCAGTGGAGATTGGACTTGCAAATCTGCAAGTCCAATTATTATTATTATAACTCTGCCCTTCCCAAACACGCACTGCTCACTTATACAAATGTGATTTGTTGCTGTTTTTTTAAATATTAAAAAAAATTCTGGTAAGAAATGCATTGGAAGAGTTCCTGTGGCTCATTGCATAAAGACACTCAACAGTGGATAGTGAATCATACAAATCAGGAAGGTCTTGGGCTCAGTTCCTAGTTTAAGCTGACTTAGTTGATCATAGCTCAGATAGCAGTAGCAGGTGCTTGATGTTTTGGGATGGATTTCTGACTTCTAGGTGACTGGCTCAGTCGGTACAACCCTCGCCTCATGAGTGAGTCAGAAGTTTCTCCTGGTGTCTTGACATCTTTCATTTTGTGGCAGTTTATGGGACATTGCTCCAAGCAAATTGCCTGTCGGGTGTGCCAACAGAACAGTCACTATATTTTGCAGTATATCTTGTGAAGCCCTTTGACACATCCTCCTCACATGACTCTTCACACATGTGCGTGTGTGTGTGCACGCACAGATGTTTGGTGATGACTCCCACTGAGGCAATACAGGCATCCCCAAAGGTGTCAAAATCTGGGATCAATTCCCAGAATAGACTCCCAGATGAAGAATGTCCACTTCAGGAAAATCATTGGCGATGTGGCTTGCTGTGTGTCTTCAGAAGAAGTGGGAATATGTGTGTGTGTGTCTTACATTATGTAGACTTTTAATATCTGGTTATCACCCCTCAATTTAAAATTGGAGAACATCTGGATGCCACAAAACTACAGAAATAACCCCAAACTTCTGTTCAGTTGTCGGGTCATATGACTTTGATTGTGTGACCACTGGCTAGGCATTAGTCTGATTCTAATTGCTACGCTAATTTGTCCATTTTACATTCATGCTCTAATGCAGTCAGACCTCTTATACAGCCTCTGGCCAGAGTATTCCCAGTTGTGTATTTAAGGGAGCTGGTCGTGATTCCTTTACATGGTCTAATTTCCTATTCTGAAGGGACTTACACATACCACTTAAGCAGTGCTGAAGGTTTCTTGTGAATTCCAACATTTTGTTGAACTGCTTAACTTTCGGGTCTTTATAAAAGAAAAATTAATTTGTTAATAGTTTTGAATTTCCCTAAAGTTTTTGACTTTGTTGGGGATAAATTTTCCCAACCTGGACAGATGTTCATTCTGGAGGGTGTTCTGCATAATTGCTGCTTAAGTTCAATTTTCAGAGGATGTGGGTGGGCGAGTGCACGGGAGTGGTGGATACCTGTGTGTAACGCTATTTGCTCTGTTTAAATGCTTTGGGCCTTACGAGGATACATTACAAGGCTGATTTGCTTGGTAATATTTGCCTGCTGAATTATCTTAACAGTAATGCCCCACAGTGTTAATGCTGAAGAGACTCTGGAGGTGAATTTGTGATGCGTTTCGATCTTTTCTGGAAAGATGATAACACTCCCTGGGGGACAATTGGGCCACAGAATACGAGCTCCGTTTTGTGAATGTTCGATCCCGTGAAATATGCGCAAACATCAACATTGAGTGTTCACAGATGTGATTATTGGAATCAGATGTTTTACTTGGCCATCCAAACTGTTTTAAGACTTCTTTACTGCACATACCTGGAAACGTTTGATGGTGATAAGAAAATAATAATAGTCCTTGCATTTGATATTACGCCTTATCACGTCTTTGAGTCGTGTCAAAGCACTTCACAGAATATATTGTGAACTGAATTGAATGTATATTTTATGACGAAACACAGCAGCCAATTGCGCCCAGCAGTGTCCCACAAACAGTCATGGATTGAGTGAACAATGTTTTTTGATAATTAAAGCATTAAAAGTAACCTTGTTTCCACGATAAGTTTGCTGTATTGTAGATGGAGTAGCACGGACGAGACAAATTAAATGGGATTGGAGTCTTTCATAGCGGGTTCATCTCAATCTAATGTGCTGGAATGGGATTTCTCTCTTGTATTGCTGTGATACACACTCAGCTGTAAGAGTTGTAAAGTCAAACCATTTTGGTGCAACTTTGGCTGCAAAGTTACCTTTTTTTAAATCTTTTCGATCATCGAAAGAGGTGATGGGTCTTGTGAATTGGAGGTGGATCTCTGGAGGCAAGCCCTGGCAGGACCACACCCTGAGACAAAACTCAGGTGTTTTATTGAATGGCAATCGTTGAGCTGTAGGTCTGTTCTCTCCCCTCTGTCCCTGTGCTATATTGTTGACGAGACGGTATTTTCTTGAAATACCCTTTTTTAGTTACGCTGGTTACACTATCTGCTGGCTGAGTAAACAAATTGAAATGCTTCACGGGACTGTGTGGTTTGTTCATTCACATCAGCAACACATCTGGCAGGAGTACATTGCCAAAAATTCCAATTATTATTGCGATTTTTTTTCTGAACTTCTATTTGCAGTGGAATTTAAATTCCAGAGCCAATCTAATTGGTTATTGCATGCGCAAGCTGCATATGTTTAGCTTGCTACATTTTAATGGAATTTAGAGGCTGGGGAAGGCTTGGCTCTTATCTGCTCCATTTTTAAACTCTCAGAGATTAAAACAGGAGATTTTAGATTTTTGTTTTACCCATCTTCTTATTGCAGGAAAAAAAGTATTTCAAAGGGTATGGGAAAAAGGCTGGGGAATGGCATTAGAGGTTATTTTTTAATCAGCCAGGTGTTTCTGACACAATCTGAAGCCAATCACCATGTTTAAGAGCTTCCAAACTAGAATCAGAATTCCCTGTTTGGAATTCAATTACTGTGGTATTAGAGTGAATTGCTTCTCCTCATAGGGTTAGTTAAAATTGGCTGCTTGTGGGGTGTTGCTGTGTGCAAATTGGCTTCTGCGTTTGACCGCAGAGGACTGTCATTGGACATTACAGTATAATCTGTGAAGCTCTTTGAGATGAAAGACACTTATCAAATGCAAGGATTATTTTAGCTACTTCACTATTCGTATCATCAAAGATGCATTGAGCCAAATGGCCAATGTTTTGGGTCACTTATTCATAGATGCTCTGATGTAAATTCGTCTGCTGCACAAATTAGGAGAGAAAATGTCCAGAAGCAAATTTTGCAGCAGGAGTGTGTTGTCGCCCTGTTCATATTCTGGCAAATCTCAGAGGTCCCAGTCAGTGACTGCGGAAATTAGCTGCAGCGTTCGCCTACAAAAGACAAAGTCACTGCACTTTGTTGTAAAGCCCTGTAAAACGTCCTCCTGACCTGAAAGACGCTGTATAAAATGGCCATGTCTTCAGCCACTGCGGCCCCGAACACTTGGAAATCCCTGCCTCAATCCGTACCCCTTGTTCCCTTTTTAACTATTCTTAAATTCCACCTCAAGACCTATCTCTTCGATTGCGCCTATGGTCACCTCGCCCTTGCTTGGCGTCCGCTCTGTAGTGCTCCAAGACTGTAACCTGCATGAAGGGCGCTGTATGAATGGTTGTTGAAATGTCTGGATTTATTGTAATTGTGTGCCGTCATGGCTTTGCACATGTCTAACCCGTGTAACTCTTTGCTCACTCACAGGACTGGGTGACAGCGACCGACATCCGAGTGACCTTAAATAGGCTGAACACCTTTGGAGATGAGGTTTTTAATGACCCGAAGGTGCTGAAGTCTTACTATTACGCCATTTCGGACTTTGCAGTTGGTGGAAGGTATTTGTTTAAACCAGCATTTTCTCTCAAGACTGAAGAGGTTGTCTGATAATCTGTGTGGAATGACAGAATCGTCATTAGGTTTAAGGCTGTGATATGTAGTTCGCTTCCAGTGCACGGCTTGACCTGAAGAGACATTGTGGGGAATCGCTGATGTTCACTGAACACTGGCGTTTTTGTACTAAAAAGCTCTTGATCTATCTTGTGACTGATTTAATTTGAGAGGTTGAGACTTTGTTACGAGTCTTGGGACCCAAATGGTAGCTTCTGAAGACTGCTGTTATCACGTCCAATTCATTAAATCACCACAATAGTAAATTTAGTTCACATACTGAAAGAATTGGCTACTTGTTTTACGTCAGTTACTTGGCACTCGTTAATAGGAACTTAAATACAGTAATAACTCAACTGGGACTTAAAGAGGGCACATTTCTCGGAACTGCATTAAACCATTGTATGTTTATAGTATATGGCTTTTAAACCCTATATGTTTACAGAGTTTAGATTTTAGATGCTGTATTTATAGACCTTGGCTTGTGCCGTGTGTGGAGCATTGGACTGACTGGAGGACTATACAATTTGAGCTCCGAGAAAAATAGTATGTGAACCCATCTGTAGCTCTGCATTTTTGCCCCTGTTGTGTGCGTCTCCTTGCACTGCTTCGGGTAATTAACACAACCAGGCATCCACACTGGGTATTTAATGACTGGAACGGGTTACAAGGAAGATTGGTTGAAGCCCCGGACACTGGTCTCAGATAAGAAATGGTTTGATACTGATGATGGGTAGACAGTAGGGTGGGTATTCTAGAGGATGAGATCAAATGGGCCGAAGGGCCTTCTTCATCCAAGCATCTCCTTTGATCTCCAAGAGATACCCAGTTGCACACTCGTGAAGGTACAGCTTTAGGAAGCAGATTGACTTCAGCTTCTCCTTAAGTGCCAGAACAGTACGTTCACCCAAGGGTTTACTTCAGGAACTCAGCTGCATTAACAACTGCTACAGTTGGCATACGCGATGAAGATTTTGTTAAGAATTGGATTAAAATGCGAAGGCGAATAAAAATCCAGAAAAAAAAAGAAATGAATACTAATTCAGCCATTCATCCGATCTGACCCTGCAGCCAAATTGCTCCACAGAGCTGTAATAATCCTTGTTGATGTGGAGATCGGGTGATCTCTCACATTCTAGTTTGATTAATGCATTAGATTTGGCCGATTAACTTAATACCTTACATTGTCTAGTTACCCAAAGTTTGACCCAAATACAAATTTCTTTTCCTATCTCGGCCACATCCCCACAGTCACCGAGTTAAACGCTTTTTAGCTCAACTCTGTTAGAATATGAATCCATGGAGCCTATCCCACATGATGTGTATGGAGGATACCTCAATTATGTGATCAATACTTATGGAATTTCGATGAGTAGAATGTATGTTCGTTCTGGGTCCTCTTAAATATGGTGATGGATCTCTGCATGTGTCTGACATCTGGCTGACCCCCCAAAAAATTGATCAACAATCAATGAAAGGATTGATTGCCAATTGCTCTTTTTAATTGTGTCATTGTACCATTGTAGTTCAACAACAACAGGTTACATTTGTATAGCACCTTTCACGTCAGTCGGTAGTACTCTGAGTCAAAAGGTTGTGGGTTCAAAGGAGGACTTGAACCTTCTGATCCAGAGTCCAAGGTGCTGCCAACTGAGCCAGGCTGACGTAAAGTCAACATTTTAAACATTTCATGGACTGCTCTTTGGTAAAAAAATTTTACCCCCTATCAGTTTCCGTCAGTCTTCCTGCTATTTTATTTTATCAATAGCCCAAGATTACATTTGGTTGGTCTCACAATGAGCGTCCGTGTTGCTAACTTGGAGCTGAAAAATGACTTTATTTAATAAAATATTTAAAAGCGGATCATTTGCTTTCATTTCCTGTCGACCTCTGGATTATTGAGTTGACTTAGGGATTTTTTTTATTATTTAAAAAAAAAGCTGCACTGGATCCGTCAATCATAACCGACCTATTAGAATTCCGTGAGGGCTGAATCTGGTTTATAATATTTTTTCAATTCAAGAAATTTGGAAATAATAACTATTGTGTAGCCGGTAAGCCGGGTGTACCCGTGAGATTGTTTCAGCTGTTTTTAAATTAAAAAGTCTGGAAGACATTGCCTTAGCTATTCTTGGACTTCTCTGGCACGATTTATAATTCTATTCTGTCCATGCCCATTCCTACTTAAGGTTTTGCGCTGTGAGAACGTGGTGCAGTGAGAGACAATGCAGTGAAAATGTTCCAAGGCTTTCCCAAGTCTGTTTTGCTTAGTCACGCATCGAAACTGCAACAATAAATCACAGCCTGACTACAGTAAAATCTTTGACAGCTTTCGATATCCCACTGGAGCAGCTCAGAGTAAGGGAGGTGCAGGCGGAGGAAAAGGTTTCCGTGTTGCAATAAAGGGTTAAATAGCCTCTATCAATGGAATGTAACCCACGCTAAGGGGTTTGATTATTTGGCAGTGTTTCCATTGTAAGCGTTCACTGAAATCTGTGTTATAAGGGCCTGTGTTCCTTGGGTGGATAGTGCCAGCTGTTTTTGAATCCTTTGGTTTCTGTCTCCCCTCTTCGCAGGTGCAAATGCAACGGCCACAGCAGCGAGTGTTTAAAGGATGATTTTGGTAAACTCGTCTGCAACTGCAAGCACAACACCATGGGAGTGGACTGTGACGCATGCCAGCCTTTCTACAATGACCGGCCTTGGCGTAGGGCCACTGCCGACAATCCAAATGAATGTCTGCGTAAGTACAGACCCCAGTGCAACTTTCTAATCCTTTGCAATGGCCCGTTGGCAAATTTGGCTGCTTTGCACTAAATGATCTATTCCACTTGTTTATCCCGATTTGGGTAATTGTGGTCAAGAACCCATCTCACCCAAGAGAGCATTTCCTGGCAAGGGTACCAGGCAGAGGTTTTCCAGCTTGCCTTGTTCCTTACTACAAAGGGTAAGAAAATGAAAATGTTTTTCATTTATATGAGATTAGTTCCCCTCCACCCAACCAAACAGAAATCCTTTTAGAAAAACTATTTTTTAATAAAAGTAATACTTGTATTTGAGATAGCACTCTTCATGTTGGGAGGATACCCAGGATTTTACTGTGAAGCGTCGTAACTGTATTTGTTGCTGATCTCCGCAGCCAATTTGTTATGCATAGCTATGTCCCACAAACAGCCATAAAGTGCAGGACAGTTTTATTTGGAAGATTGTTGGCTAGGACACTGGAAGAAACTCCCCTCAATCCTTTGACACCCACCTGAACAGGTAGACTTAAGGTCTCACCCGAAGGATGGCAAGACAATCATTGCCAGTGTCCCCCCAGCACTGCACAGGAGTATCGGCCACAAAATGAATGACCACTTTTAAGATAATAAAAGACTTCACAAAAGAGAATAAATAAAAAATATATATGTATTAAACTGGGTTGGTGGGTAATCTTGGGTAGAATTCAAGGAAATGCATCATAGGAATGACATAGCGAGAAAATGTCATCCGGTAAAGGGGGAGTTTTTATTATTTGCCAGACTCGCATTTTCAGTTATTTGCACAAGAAATCAATTGCATGGGTTTCCTGGCGATTTCTGCAGGCTTGGGTTATCAAAGCGAGAGAGGGACGGAGGTTCTGGTTTTGTTCCTACGTAATTTATTGCTGAGGATTGCTTGTGAAGCCACAATGAATGATTTAAAAATGTAGTGGGAAACGCAACTGGCTCTGCTATTGGTGGGCGTAATTGAGTTTAATGCTCTGAAGATGCCAGCAATTGTGGATTCCAATGTGTTGAGTAGAGCACTTGCCTCACAAACGATAAGATCTGGATTCAATTCCCGGGCGGGGTGAAACCTTAGGCGAGTTTCCTTACTCCACACGCCTCTGTTTACCTAGTAACAGTAGGAACCAGGTTGTTAATAGATTCGCGGATCGTTTTCTGAGGTAATAATCCCTCCAAAATGAATAAATAAAATTTGGTCACTCAATCTACAACTGTTTGTGGGGATGACACTGCTGTGTGCAATTGGCTGCCTTGTTTTGCCCACAAAATACACAGTCATTCCACTTTACAATATATTCTGTGAAGCGGTTTGCGGTGTAAGAAATTATTATAGTTGATTTGTTAAGGTCTAGTGACCAAGATGCTATGGAAAGCCTCTGAGAATCACAACATGACTAAACCTGTGGACAAAGTGGTAGTGACTTAAAATAAAAACAAAACATTCTTATTCACCTTCTCAATTCTGGTCAAAACCTCAAAATTACTTTACAGAAATCTTTTGTTGTGTGTGGCATGTATACGTGCATCCGATGGGATTAAGCTTTGTGAGTGAATTGATCTGGAATGTTTTATGGTCTTATTTTTTGGTATTACCCAGATGCAATATTATACACAAATTTACATTTATACAGAGCCTTTCACATCCCAAGGTGCTTAGCCTTGTGCCCCCCAAAAACCTTTTTATCGACACTGTATAACATATCTGCAGAATATTGAAGCATAACTTCATAGTTTTTAAAGTTTAAAATTACTATTGAAATTGGTAAAGAAACAATTCTCCCAATTGCTGTGAAGTGCTTTCATCCTCTCAACGTGAATGCTTTAACTTATTGATAATAATGCTTACATTTGATAACGTAAAGAATCCTTCACATTGGGACAATATCCCAAAGCACTTCACTGGATTTACTGTAAAAAAAACTGCAGCAATTGCATGTTTTTTGTTGGCAAATAAAGACCAGACCAGCACTTTTCTTATTCACCTTCTCAATTCTGGTCAAAACCTCAAAATTACTTTACAGAAATCTTTTGTTCTGTGTGGCATGTATACGTGCATCCGATGGGATTAAGCTTTGTGAGTGAATTGATCTGGAATGTCTTATGGTCTTATTTTTTGGTATTACCCGGATGCAATATTATACACAAATTTATATTTATACAGAGCCTTTCACATCCCAAGGTGCTTAGCCTTGTGCCCACAGGACCCACAGTCACTGCACTTTCCAGCAAATCCTACAAAACGCTTTGGAATGTTCCCCTCATGTGAAAAGCGCTATATAAATGTAACAATGATTAGCATTATTATTAATACTAGCTTGGCACCAGTGTTGGGTGTATTGATTTGTAGAGGTGACACAATGAAGAGATTAATGGTGTTTAGATTGGTGATTTTTTTCTCTCTCTCTCCCCCTCTCACTCGTCAGCCTGCAATTGTCATGACAAGTCTTCCCAGTGCTACTTTGACCCAGAGCTATACCGAGCCACGGGTCACGGTGGCCACTGTCGCAACTGCATCGACAACACCGATGGCCCCAACTGCGAGAGGTGCAGAGACGAATTCTACCGGCAGGGCCCCAACGCTCGCTGCCTGTCCTGCGACTGCAGCCTAGTGGGTGAGTACTTTGTAATAACCCCGAGAATTACTCTACTGGCTTGCTTTTGGCGCTATGTTCCGATTTAAAACCGCTGTCCGTCGTAAAAGTCAAGGTGGCGAAAGGTCCGCTTAAAGTTTATGGGATTCTAAGTGAGTTTTTTGTATTTGTATTTAAAGGAGTATTTTTGGAAGAGGTGGGAAACCTTGGGAGTAAATGTGGGATTGTTTATCTGGTTTACACTGAGAAACAGCGTTTAATAATGTCGAGGAATGAATCCAGATGGGTGTGCTCGAGTAAGCGCTAGACGTAGGAATTCCCTTCTCTTTTCTCTCTCCCCCATACCCCGCTAGTTTAGCCGATTGAGCTCAATATTCCATCTGTTTGCATTCATTTCTGCATTGTGCATTTATTTGTATTAAGTTGCACTTGAGTGCACACGCGCACACATTGCGGTTTGCCTTGGAGCCAAAGGTGCTGAATTAACATTAGAACATTTAGCTTTGTCTAATGTGATACTTAAATCCAACATTCGAGAGGTAGAGGATTAAAGTCCAAAGCTCAGTGTTAGAGCATACTCCTGAACTTTCAGCCCTGCCCATCCAGTGTCTTGAAATGAGTGGCACTGTTTTCATTAATATCTCGAAATTCGCAAATGCTATTTCTGTGCTATTGGAATGAAAGGATTTTTCAATCATGCACATGGCCTGAGTATGCAGCGAAATGGTGGTACTTGTTAACACTGATTTCTCTTAGTAATTCTCAAATACTGACACTGGCTTCATAGGGTAAATTCATGCACGTTCCCACAGATCAGTCAGTGGGTGTAAATTGAGAGAGATGGGTGGGAATGGGATCCATGTTATTGGAAGGAAGTATGAAAGTTTTGTTGTATATGGATTGTTGGAGATTGGAATGCAGGGCCACAACAACAGCTGAGCCTGAGCCTGTTTTTAAAAGAATCAGTCAATTGAGTGTGCACGGGGAAAGAGCAGGAGAGTCAGAGTGGGGCCAACAGCTCCAGTGTTCACAGTGATTTTACATTTATATCCAGCGCCTTTCATGTCGGGAAGAAGCCACAAAGTGCTTTGCAAAGTGGAAATGGGTGCCCAAGGTGGGGATAGCTGAGGAAGGTTGAGAGGGGGTTGGGATGGGAGATGACTAAAGGCACAGTGAACTAAAATACTTAAGGTCAGTTTTAAAGGTGGAGAGGGAGGGACTCTGGGTTGGAATTCCAGAGAGTGGGGGGGACAGAAGGCTGAAAGCTCTTCCACCAATATGGGTTGGGGTGAGCGGAGAACATGAAACAGGTTCTACTCCCATTCCCAACACCAGCACCAACATGATGGGCTTGTGCTTAAACATTCCACGATTACATAAAGCCAGGACATGCCAGAGGCTGTCTGTACATTAATACATGTATCCATAAACAGTGAACTAGTCACTTCATTCAATTCTATTTAAAAAGATTGGCCCCTCTCCAAGCTTGATAAGCGACTTTATCTCAGGAAAGGATTGCTTTCAAGAGGTGTTGTGCGAAGACACATCAGCCAGTTCAGCTGTGCATTTATTGCACCGTCTTGTCACTACATCCACTCAAATGTATCATTAAAATTTCACAACACTTTACAAACAGCTCCTGGGCTGCCTTGGAATATTATTATGATGGAAATGGGCTTGGGCAGCTGCAAAATCTGTCAAAATGTAACTTGTCAGGACAGCGTAGTTGAAATTCCTCCCGACGACTAAATGACAGATTCTCCAACTCTGGGTTCATTCAGTAAATTGGTGGTGGGGGGAGCAAGAGGAAGAATCTCTCCTTGAATTCCCAAGATTGTCCCTTTATTACACAATTTTGCTCCAGGCTTTTAGGTGGTTTTTTTTTGCATCTTTTGTCTTTCGCAGATTGGAATGACTTTTAGCTGCTCACAAACGTTGGCGTATTGAATTTCGTAAAGTTCAGCCGTGATCCGGTCAACTTGACTTTTTTCACCTCCCTACCTCTCCTACCTGCTTACTTGCCACCCACTTCCTGTTGCCTCCACTCGACTGGCTCCGGACTCCTGCTTGCCTCTCGTGCCCTCCGTTCCACCATCAGTGGCCGCGCTTTCAGCCACTACGCTCCAAAACTCTGGAACACTCATTCCCTCCGCTTTGCCGCATACTTCCCCATTTTCAGGAGATCTTCCTCTTCACCTAAGGTCACCTTCCCCAGCTCGGCATCGTGCTCCACCATTGTCAAGCTCTCTAGGATGCTACCCTGCACTAGGAGCGCTATGTAAATTCAAGTTGTTGTTTTTCAAAAGTTCCCGAATGAGCAGTCTTTTGGGAAACTGGCGAGCTGGCGTTTTCACAGTGGAAATAGCTTCCCAGGTGATGCTGCTTTCCCAAATAGAATGGCAGTGAATGGCGGATACCTACTGTCAAACTATTAACATTACAATTTTTATAGTATTGCAACAGTGCATTGGTATTTGAAATGAAATCAGTTTACTTTCCAATCCTCCCTCCCTCCTTCCCTCCCTCCCTGTCTTCTCCACCCTCCAGGTAAAAATCGGACATTCTTTCCAAGTAGACAAATTGCATTCCTTCTGCGTCTTTGCTTTTCAAGGTTCCCTCAGCACTCAGTGTGATAACTACGGTCGCTGTAGCTGCAAGCCTGGAGTGATGGGGGATAAATGTGACCGCTGTCAGCCTGGCTACCACTCGCTCACTGAGGCGGGCTGCAGGTAACTACATGCAAACTGCTGGACTGGCTGAAAAATCCCCCCAAAAAATCGGGACATTCGTTTCATGGCTGTTTGTGGGACATTGCTATGTGCAATTGGGCTGCCACATTCACCCACAACTATAGATTCACTCCATGGTAAATCGTGCAATCTCTTTGGGATGTCCTCCTGATGTGAAAGGCGCTGTACCAAATGCAATGATTATTATTTAATACTCTCCTCTACTGTTGTCGGGTTATCTCTTCTTTGGTTCCCTCTCCCCTCCCCCCCACCCCCTTGAGGCAACAGTCAGGAATCCACAGGTACTCGTTCCATCAGAGGTCACTGGATAGAGATCTGGAGCAAGAACCTTGAACACTGGTTTTCTTTCTTTGCCCAGGGGCATTGAAGCCAATTGTATCTCCTAACCTTTGCCCCAGAAACTAACTAACTCAGCACAACAACTTGTTGCTGTTCGACTTTCGTGGCGCCATCCTGAATTGTGTGCATTTGCATACTTTAGTTTTAACAAGTTGAGTATGTTTTGAGTGGGAAGATGGAGAGGAGGTAGTGACTGTGTATACTTTTAAGATACATAGATGGGGGGAAGGCGAAAAGATACATAACAGGAAAACAAAACTGCATGATTTTCATTCCGCTTGTAGCACAAGTTGAGAATGAAAATGTGAACAGGGAGCACAAGGGTGTTGGGCGGGCCATTCATAGGATCATAGGAATTTACAACACAGAAGAAAGCCATCCAGCCCATTGAGTCTGTGGCATCTCTCAAAGCAAGATTCTCATTCAGTCCCACTACCTTGCCTTGTTCCCATACCCCTCCAAACCTTCACCTCGTATACCATTCGTGGTCAAGTTGCATATTGAAGTGCTGTGTTCAAATCTGGAAACTTTTATAAGGGGAGTGAATGTGCCGTGTTCAAAGTGTTAGATTTTATATTTGAATCGAGCTTGCCTACATATTGAATTTGATGCTTTTATGCTATGGTGCTAATTATACAAATGACACTGATATTTTTCAGTGTACAAATAGGCAGACAGTACGCATCTTCATATAACTCGCATGATCTGATACTGAATCTTCCAGTGTTCCAGTGTACTATACAACCACTGAGAATTGGTTTCATAGACAATCCGTACTAATTGGGGCTAGTGTTTCAAGGTCTTAAAAGCCCTTCCGTTTCTAATGCTGCGTTCCTGTTTGCAGGCCGTGTGCCTGTAACCCAGCTGGCAGTACAGCGGAATGCAGCCTTGATACGGGACGCTGTATCTGCAAGGATAATGTTGAAGGATTCAACTGTGAGAGGTAAGGGTCATGTTTCGGGAGTTCATGCCAACAATCGGGTCTTGGAAACTTGCCGTGAACACTGAGGAACCTGATCTGTGCGAGTGCATGTCACTCGTTCATCCTCCGCATCCCACGGGGTGGAAACAATCTGTGTGCTGATGCCCCTCTGCGCATAAGAGCTTTGGAAATGTGGGAAATCCAAGCTTAATTCAGAAAGCTGTTTCCATCGGTTCTGGGGTGGGGTTGGGTGGGTGAGTGGGAGAAGGCAGGGGAGCGGGGAAACAGCCGCAGAACAGCAACTTCCAAATCTAAAACTGCGTTTAATCATTTTTGAAAATTCTACAAAAAATCTTATTTTTGAAGGCTAAGACCAGGGGAGGAATGGGGGGAAGAGAAGAATTTCAGGCTCTGAGAGAATCTGTGAACATTCTTCACTCTTGCACCGAGCAACTCCTCCTCTGCTTACATTCCAGTCGATTTAAAAACGTTGTTCTCTCTCAGCTTCTCGTCCTTCAGCTACGATTTCATCAGCATCTACAACAACATCTTGCATTTATATAGCACCATCTACGGTGGGGCAGTGTCTCGGAATGCTGATCTAATCTAATGCCCCCCTCCCCCACACCTCACTCTTTAGACCTTCTTCCTCCCTCTATCTCATCATCTCCACCCACCGCTCACCAATCCCTCTTTAAATCCCACATAGAAACCAACCCCTTCAGCCATGCTCAATGTCATGTTCCCCTTGTCCCTTGCTCAATGTCAGACACAATACCTTTGATGTACTCCCAAGATGTTATTCTTTTTAAGGGGTGCTGTATAAATGCAAGTTGTTATACCACCTTGTGGAATAGCAAGCCAGACTAAGGGACTGCTGTAAAATAATCCTTAGTGATGAGGCTCCTTCCCTCAATCAACTTTCACTTTTTGGTATTGGGTCTGAAATCATGTGTCAGCTTAGTTCAGTTTGATAGCACCTAGGCCTCTTGAGTTAGAAGGTTGTGGGTTCAAGCCTAAATACACAGACACTCCACGTAGAGGGGTAGGAAGGACTTCAAAAGCGCTGCGTTCTTGGATCATCCTATGTTTGAGGACAGTAGTTTCGCTGCTCCACCAAGTCGGTACAGGAAATCCTGTGAAGTGCTTTGGGACATCCTCTGATGTGAAAGTTCCTGTGCCAAATGCAAATTTTTTTTTAATATTAAATCCAAATGATTGTGCGTTCTGGTTCACCCAGTGCCAGGCAGCGTTTTTAGTCCTTCAAGGCCCTGACCGATATCAAAAGGATCAGACAAGGTGGCTCTGCCTAGTTTTATTTGGCCAAAAAAGAGAGAAAGCATTGTTATCTTCCATGGCCTGCTGTCTTTTTACAGATGTTGCAGTAATGTGTTAACTAACACACGCTTCGTCAGTTCTGACAAAGGGTCAAGGACCCGAAACGTTGACTCACTTTCCTTTCTCCATAGATGCTGCCTGACCTGCTGAGTGTTCCCAGCTCTCTCTGTTTTTGTTACATGCTTGGGAGGCCCTGGTACGAGATGGGGTGCTGGAAAGTCCCCTATGCAAGGGCATAAGTTTTTAAGGCATAAAGTTTCAATTGGCACGTTGGCTTCAAGGTGTCTGCTGACACAGCGCTCCAGCACCTAAGGGCCCCTGACCAATACAAGTGATCTTAAAGCTCGGGATATTGACACCTTTGATGGTTTGAGCTTTATCATTTACTCATAAGAAGGACTTCAAAAGAGCCATTTCCTTGGATCATACAACAAACAGACAAACCTATGTTTGAGGACTGTAGTTTTGCTGCTCCAGCAAGCTAAGGTTATTACGAGGTCAGGAGTTAAAGATCCAAATGAACACATTCGCAGTGCTTTGTAGTAGCTAGAAAGCTGTGAGTCTGTCATGGCTCTCAGCCTTGTGAATGGCCAAAAGGATAAGTACAGTGTGCGGAATCCTAGCATCCAGAATATCTCAATCTGTGTCAGGTGGGGGGTTTTGATACCTGCTTCCCCTTTGCTACTGTAAATTGTGGAAACTCTTCATTTTTCATCCATTGATGCAGATTGCACTTCAAAATGCAGTGGAGTTGGGCTGATGCTGATCTTCAGTAGCTGAGGGATGGAGCAGGAACCTTTGGGGATATGTCCATTTTGTGGTTTCCATTTAGTTTTTTTTGGCGTTCTCACTCAGCTCCTCTGCCCTGAACAGCCAAAATTTACTTTGATATGAAGTTGCTCGTTTGTCCCGAGTCCTGTTTTACATGAAAGGTCCAATGATGAAAGGAAGCCTGGTAACCAGCCATTTAGCTCTGTCTTAGCCAAATCATCCACCTCAAAGTCTTTTATAAAACAGATATTGACTGAAACTGATGTTATTGAAGAGTGAACCAGATGCATACATGAGGGAGAAGGGAATAGAGAGTTATAAGAGAATAGATTAGAAGGGGTGAAGGCTCATGTGGAGTATAGAAACCAACATGGACTAGTTGGGCTGATTGGCCTATGCTGAATTCCGTGTAAATCTATGCTGCCGGTTATCCAAATTGTTAGCAGTAAATGTATCATAAGAGAAATTTTATTTTTCCTTCCAATGATTCCACAGATGCAAGCCTGGCTTTTTCAACTTGGAGCCCTCAAATCCCCATGGCTGCACAGCCTGTTTCTGCTTTGGACATTCATCTGTCTGCAGTAAAGCAGAGGACTACAGCGTGCACAGGATCACAGCTAGCTTTGATACAGGTATACAATGATGCTCAAGTTGCCAATGCGTTTATCAGAGTATTGCAAAAGATTGTAAATGGAAAAATTCAGAGGTAATTTTGTTGGTAGAATCTGCGATCCCTTTGTCAAATCTGCAGGAATCCAATACGTTCATTTCAATTGTATAGTGGCTCATGCAGTGCCCACACTTGTCTCTTTGCATCTGCAGGTCTTGATGGATGGAGGGCCGAGCAGCGGGATGGGGGTGAGGTTTCACTGCAGTGGTCCCCAATGAGCCACGACATCTCCGTGACCTCCAACAATTACTTACCAGTGTACTATGTTGCTCCCGGTATGTGGACTCGGGATCTGCACAATGTGGTGTATTGTTCTAGAGGCAATGTGTGCAGTTGATTGATGTTAATTGCTGCTTGGTAGCCAAGACCAGTGTTGATGAGAGTCTCGCAGAACATATTGCTGCCAAGGTTAGCTCAGGGTCACCTAATGACGATGCACCGGATGTAAAATTGGACAGCTTCTCCCAACACTTTAAAGGGCTCGACTCTGGGTTTGAATTCTTAGTGGGTCTGCTCAGGGCTTCACCCTTTTGCATTTGTTAACATAAGGGTTATGCATTTTGGGATGCTGATGAGAGGGGTCTTCCCAGAGCTGAACAAGCTATGAGGTAACTCTCAGGCAGATTTGCTGTAATTTCAAGGCTTTGTGCCCAACTGTCCAGCTTGTTTGGAACATCAATGAAACTTGGAGATGTACAACTCTGCGAGCTGATTTTTTTTTACAGGGAGAGTGCTCCCGGCTGGACAGCGCACCAGTTTTTACATTCTCAAAAGACTTGCTTGCATACTTTTGCCCACATAAAAATAGTCACTCCACTTTCCAATATATCCTGTGAAGCACATTCTGTGAATGGTGCTATCTCAAATATTAGGAAAGATTCTTATTATTATAATTCTAAATGTTCTTTTTTTTTCCTCCTCACTCATTTAAAGGAAACTTTCTGGGCAATCAGCTGATGAGCTATGGACAGAACCTCTCCTTCACTTTCTACATGGACCGAAGAGATACACGGTTGTCAGCTGAGGATCTTATCCTAGAGGGGGCAGGCTTAAGAGTTACTGTTCCCCTCATAGCACAGGGAAACCAGTATCCTACAGAAACTCCGCAGATCTACACCTTCAGGTGAAATGAGATCTAATGAAACTTTTAATAGATCTAGCATGAAATTGGTTACGTCTCGTAATGTGATTGATGGTGTCAGCCTGGCTCAGGTGGTAGCACTCACCTCAGAGTCATAAGGTTGCGGGTTCAAGCCTCACGTCGGGATTTGGAATCATATAGTCTTAAGCTGACTCTCCAATGCAGTGCCGAGGGAGCCCTGTCCCTCGGAGGTGCCGTCATTCGGATGAGATGTTAAACCGAAGTCCCATCAGCCTGTTCAGGTGGAAGTTAAAGACCCCGTTTGAAAAGAGAAGGGAGTTTCCCTTGGTGTCCTCGCCAACAATCCCCCATATAAAATTGGTCACTCACTCATGGCTGTTGTGGAGCCACTGCTATGCACAAATTGGCTGCTGTGTTTGCCTACAAAATACAGTCACCCCACTTTACAGTAAAAATTCTGTGAAGTGTTCTGAATCGTCTTGACAGGGTGATGAGGACCTATACCAAATGCAAAGACTAGTATATTTAATACTCTCCACGGGACTTTAGGAACATGTGGCACACTGCCAGACACCAGCCTGGTGAGCAGATGCAGCAGCAAACCTAGCACTGGTATCTGCCCAGGGCTATGTCTGCAAATCCATTCTGCAAGGCTCATTCATTGTCCTGCACCATATAGTATGTGCGTTCTGTGTACCGTGCGTCATCTGCACCATGAATGTAAGGTACAATCGGCCAAAGTCCAAAGAGCAATTGCATTTGGAAAAAAAACACCCAAAGGAAGAGATGCTTTAAGCAAATGTGGTATCCAGAGAGTGCATGAGTGAGTGGGGAGTGTCCTGGAGGCCCTAATTTGGCACATAGTTAAGCTGATCTAAGCTGTTCTATCATGGAAAGGAGCTGAGCAAAGCCAGACAATCCGTCAAACCCCCTCCCACATCACCGTCTCCCTTACAGTAAGGGAGAAACTTGTCCTTCTCTGCTTTTACACTGACCAGTTGTCCCCCTGCCCTGGCAGCGATGTGGTATCAGCGTGCTTATTATCTGGTTGGGAATAGTGCAGTGTGTGGAGAGATTGGAGCAAAATAGAAAAGAAATCTCATGTTCGTGCTCTCTCTCTGTCTGATTGAAAATAGAATCACGTTCATCCCATGTGCCTCCGTTGAATTCAAGGCCAAGTCCCAGGAGTGGACACATGGTGGTCTTGCTCTCTATATCGGACCACCCAGGGTCTGTATAGATAGAAGTATCGATTTAATCATAAGTCAATTTCATGTCCTCTAAGAACCTACTTTATCTGCAGTCTGTTATGCTGAAGAATGTTTTTCTAACTGTTTATATTGAGCCACTGTAAATATATATAACCTTACACTCTTATTTTGGAACTGCTTTAAGAAAGTGGATGTTAAACCCTGCTTCCCTGCTTTCCAGACTCCATGAAGTGTCGAGCTACCCGTGGAGGCCACTACTTTCCTCGTTTGAATTTCAGAGGCTTCTCCATAACCTGACGGGCATCAAGATACGAGGCACATACAGTGAGAATAGTAAGTCTCCCAGTTTGCGATCTAGACTGGCTGTGAAGGTGCGTCTCAAGAACTACCTCTTTGACAGCGCTTTCAGTCATCTTTCCCAATCCTCTTTAGCTGCCACCCCCAGCTCGGGTGCCAAGCCGGGATTGTTAAGTGCCTTGAGACATCCTCCTGACATGAAAGGTGCTATGCAAACGTAAATTTGTGATGTATTCAATAATAACCTGATCAGCAAAAATATCTTGGTTTACAAAGGTAAAAACGTTTCACATCATCTGCGTCTCCGAACCCAACTTCTCTTTATTCCACCACAGCTCCTGGCCACCTCGACGATGTGGCTTTGCTGACCGCTCGGCCTGGGCCCGGGTCCCCCGCTCTGTGGGTGGAAAGGTGCACGTGCCCAACCGCTTACCAGGGACAGTTCTGTGAGCAGTGCGCACCGGGCTACAGGAGAGAGAATCCTAGCCTTGGCCCTTTCAGTCCCTGTGTGCCCTGCATGTGCAATGCACACAGCGATTCCTGTGATCCTGAAACTGGTGAGTGCTAAAGGGCTGTTTGCAAAGCTGCCATGTGTTTCCTTACTGAGGCCACTTGTTGGGAGAAGATGGTATCCATATAAAATGTATGACAATGGTATCAATATAAAATGTACGTTAGGGTTATGATAAAAACAGATTTTTCTCTTCTATGTTAATCCATATTGTTGATTGTGGAGAATCGGCAGCATATTGACGGAAGTACCAATATGGTTCTCTCAAATGGTGCATGTTGGAGGTTGTCAGCAATGAATCAGGACAATAGTCAGACAGAATCTCAAAAGAAGCAATTAGAAGAAATAGAGAAACACCAGCTGGGGTAACAGACAGATGTGTGCTTAAAATATGCATACATTGGCTAAAGGAGGGAAATTGGAAGAAAACAAGGTAACTTTGGTCCAGTGTACATGTCATAGTTGGGAGGTTGTTCATCATAACTAGACCAAATAGTATGAGTTAATGAGAAGAAAGGAAGAAGCAAGGCTGGAAGAGTAGAGATTAGGAGACAGATGTCTCCTTGATGCATCAGGTTGAAGCCGACCTTATGGGCCTCCTGCATAAACAGGACTTAAGGGAGATAACTGAAAGGAGGAGATGTTTTAGAAAAGCATCAGTTGTCCGGTCAGACAAAAGGTCAGGAGAGACGTGCTGAATTTGGGAAAAATAACCCCAAAACCTGTATAAAAAGGGTCTGTTAGAGGGAGATAGGCAGTACGGGAGCAGAGATCAGAGGGACACCATAACTTTGTGAGTATATCACTTAGCTGCTCAGGCTCAAGAGAAGGAAGACAAAGAACTGCTGCTGCTGATTCCTTTAAACTGAGTATTTCTTAACTGCATGGTAACCAATGTGTTTTTAATACAATACAGTCAAGTATATCGCTATACTTTGATATAATCATTGTATTCTAGCAGTGCTTTTTGGACCCTTTATTTTTCTTTGTATTGTATGATTGATATTATCTGCTTTGTATCGAAATAAAACATTCAAAGGTGTGTCACGCCATATTTGGTATTTGTCGAGTCTCTATTTCGAACCCGGGATTCATTTTTCCCAACACATTAGTGTGAAGCCCTAGGTTAAGATATTCAATATGTCTCTCTCTCTGTCTATTTCTTGCCAACCCCCCCCCATACTGTCTCTCTCTTTTTCACATACACACTCTTTTTCTCTCCCCCCTTCTCTCTCTCTCTCTCCCCCCCACCCCCTCTCTCGCTTTTTCACTCTCTCTTTCTCGCTCCTCTCTTCCTCACCCTCTCTCTGAGAAATATTAATTTGTACTCAGGAAGTCTGTGGTCCACTTACCTTTGAAAGCCTGTGCAGTATCTGATGCCCTTCAGTTTTTAACCCAACAGTTAGGCTTTTCACTCTTTGCTTTCAACAATCTTAACACAACAATGAGAACTAAAGCAAAATACAGTTGGCAGAGATGCGTGTGAGATATAGAAAATCTTTGCATAATTTGCCCCTTCTGGTTGCAGGAGAATGTTACTGCAGAGACTACACAGCTGGACCAAACTGCGAGCGGTGTATGGATGGCTACTATGGTGATTCCACCTATGGCAGCTCAGTGGACTGTAAGCCATGCCCATGTCCAAGTGGGTCATCCTGTGCAGTGGGACCAAGACTCAAGGAAGTGGTGTGTACAAGCTGCCCTGCGGGTACCACTGGTGAGTTTCTCCTGGTTTCAGCGTCACTGTTAAACGAACGGCGTTCTCCACCGCACTGATTACTCTGGATGTGTTCACTGTGCAAATTGGATGAACATCACATTAATGCACAGCAACTACAAACCCCAGCACCAATCTATCTGTTGAGATCTACCTTGGGAAGGCTGGGTTGACTGCAGTTATATTGCTCAGAGCAGAGGAGGTTTAAGTGGTGATTTGATTGAAGTTTTTTTTTTTTGGTGAAATTTGATGGGTTAGATGACTTTAGAGAATCCATCTTCCTGATGGGTGGCTTGAGCTTGAACTTGCAGCCTTCTGACTAAGAGGCAAGAGTGCTACCAACTGAGCTGATACCTTTATTTGTCTGAGGGTACTCTCTCGCTATTGGAAGCAGATGGAAATTGGTTAAATAACCAAGTTAATAGTTATTATGAACCAATAATAGTTTGTAGGCCAAAGTTAGAATGAAGTGCAAACTATTGTAGCCTGAGTTGAAGTGGACCTAAGTGTAGAATCATGTCCCAACATTTTTGCCTTCAATTGTTGGTGTAAGGTTGGGGAACAGGCATTCAGTAGCTAAGGTGATTGAAGCTTGGTTTGATTTCCCTCAGGTAAACGGTGTGAGCTGTGTGATGATGGGTATTACGGAGACCCACTGGGGGAAGAGGGACCAGTGAGACCCTGCCGGGTATGCCAGTGCAGCGACAACATCGACCCCAATGCCGTGGGCAATTGCAATCGTCAGACAGGAGAGTGTCTGAAGTGCATCTACAACACCGCTGGCTTCTACTGTGACCGCTGTAAAGAGGACTTTTACGGACACGCGCTGACCCCAAACCCAGCTGAGAAATGCAAACGTAAGCTTCCCTGCTGGTCTCCATACCAAATGTTGCCTTCTATGTTTCCAAATAACAACTTGTATTTATATAGCACCCTTCATCCGGGTAACGTCTCAGAACACTGATGACATTAAATGTACTTAATTCAGTGAAAATCGAGTTCCTAAACTTAGATGCAGCGAACCATAGAAATTTACATCACAGAAGGAAGTCATTCGGCCCATCGTGTGTTGTGCCAGCTCTTTTAAAGAGCAAACCTTTCAGTCCCATTTACCTGCCCCTTTTTCCTCCATACCCCTGTAGTTTACTCCTTTTTAGATAGCTCTCTAGTTCCCTTTTTAAAGCTAATATGATTTTTGCCTCAGCATTCATTCCTAGCAGATGAGTATTTATAAGTTCTGGAGACAGGGCATGAACACCTGTGTGTGTGTATATATATATATATTTTGTATGCATATAATGTATATTATAGGAGTCCTGTAGCTCAGTGGTTAGAGCACTCGCCTTGCAAGTAAGAGACCTGGGTTCGATTCCTGGCAAGGTAAAACCTTGGGCAAGTTTACTTACTCCGCACGCCTAATAATAATCCCACAAGAAAAAAAACAAGAATAATTTGGTCACTCAATCCATGACTGTTTGTGGGACACTGCTGTGCGCAATTGGCTGCCGCGTTTTGTCCACATTCTGTGAAGCGCTTTGAGTCGTCTCGAAGATGTGAAAAGCGCTATATCAAATGCAAGGATTATTATTATTTATTATATGATTATTTGATTTTTCAGTCTATCCAGATTTCCTACGACTGAGCCTGTGAGGCAGTCAATGGAACTTCATACTTATTGCTGATATTTTATATCGCGATACTCTAGTCGAACGATGATTATTATTTTCTCAATATTCATTTTCCCGAAATTCTAAAAGTACCTGACTCTCTGACTGAAGCTGCTAGAGATGGGTGGGTGGGGGGTGGCAGGGAGGGAGCAGAGAAGGCTTTCGGTAAAATATAAAATATAATATAAAACATTGTTTGGCTGGGGTGTCAGCTTGTAAAGTGATCACTACCTCTGCACGCCATCCTTCACTCACTGTGATCTGGTAAGATCCATTAAAGAAACAAAAAAAATTTAGAAAGCATTTTTTTATTTTTTCAAAAAGTGCTTGCCTGTATCCTTAGCTGAGGAAACAATGCGGGAGAAAACTTCAGACTAAGTCTACGCTTTATTAATACAAATAATCCTTGCATTTAATACAGCGTTTTGTCACATGGTTGAGACGTCTCAAAATGCTTCACAGGATATATTGAAAGTGGATTAACTGTATATTTTGTGGGCAAAACATGTGACTGTGATGTGTGGGTTTTAACCCGCAGCTTGCAACTGTTCCCCTTACGGCACGGTGAACCAACAGAGGAGCTGTAACCAGGTGACCGGGCTGTGCGAGTGTTTGCCTCACGTCATTGACCGGGACTGCAGCCAGTGTGAGCAGGGTTTCTACAATATCCTCAGCGGCCAAGGCTGCCAGAGGTAAGTCTGTCACAGGAATTGACCAAGTTGGTTGTCCTTTTAAAGTGAATCCAGTCCTGGCCCTCCTTGGCAGCTTTCTTCAACAATAACAGCTTGTACTTGTATAGCGCCCTTCATGCTGGGTAGCATCCCGGACGGAGCGCTTAACAGTGGCAGAGTCTGATCCGTAATCGTTAATTACGCTCTGGGTGAAGAAATAATTCCTGGCGTCTGTCCTGACGTTGCTCTTTTGGATCGCACAACCTGTGCATCTGAAAGTAGCATCCTGGCACTGGGGTCTATGCCGCAATCGGTCATTGTCGTCTCTTAACACTAACTCCCCAAAACGGAGATGCCTTGTGATGCGCTTCAGGTTACAGTGCATTAACCTGAAGGTTACCAGAAAATATTATAGTCTCCATTAAAACTTTTACACGATGGGATTCCTGTTCAATAATGATAATAAATATTGCATTTGGTGTAGTGCCTTTCATGCTGGGAAGACGTCACAAGATATACTGTAATGTGTATTTTAAGACCACAGTCGCAATCATGCGTCGTGCTCCTAACTATATACAGTTTGTAGGCGAACAGAAAGGGAAATAGTTACTCTGTCACCCTCCCCAACCCCCACCCCAAACGCACTTGTGTTATTCTTCGCATTGCATTATGACGGGAATGAATCTAATTTGAACTCCTCGGCTTTATGTCTGTTCACAGTTGTGACTGTAATTCCATCGGTTCCACTGATGGTCAGTGTGATATTCGAAGCGGACAGTGTGAATGTCAGCCCGGCATCGTTGGGCAGCGCTGCGATCGCTGTGAAAGCTACCACTTCGGCTTTGGCCTGGACGGATGTAAACGTAAGGAGTGGGGAAGGGGATAAAGACTCAAGAGTTTCTTCTATTCTTGAAATAGCTTCTGCATAAACATCTTCTCTGCAAACATTTGTAAAACGTAGTGTTGCTGTTTTATTTGCTGCAGCCTGTGACTGTGATCACGAAGGCTCTCGAACCCCGCAGTGCAAGGAGGATGGAAGGTGCGACTGCAAGGAAGGGTTCGTGGGCACGCATTGCGACCAGTGTGAGGAGAACTATTTCTACAATCGCACAAGGCCTGGGTGTCAGGAATGCCCAACCTGTTACCGGCTGGTGAAAGATAAGGTAGGAACTTACCTGTTCTGATTGATGCACCCTGCGGTCCACACAGGACATCTCAAGCACTATGTGCACTCACACATACATACAGACACACAGACACACACACACACACGTACGTGTCTACCCGTGCATGCACCCAGACACATATCTACCCATGCACATACACACTTGTGTGCATGAGTAAAGTCTTGCCCCGTGCTCGCTCACACACAATCACAAGTACTATTAGTACATCAGGTTTTCCATTGGTCTCTTAACAGTTTAGTTTAAAATTAGCTTATTTTTCCAGGAATGCAATGCTCTTAATCTACAGTTTAGTCTCGATTAGTAGTATAGAAGAGGAAGGCACGTTATTTTGTCTTGTGGCAGGCTGCGTTGTTTGACTTTTCTGTAACAAAAAAAAGGTGATTCAAAGCTGTTTGTCCTTCAGTTGGCTTAATTGCTTTCCTACCAGATGGTTCATTCTGTGTTATGCTTTCAGGTGAACGAGCAGAGGCAGAAGCTTAAAGACTTAGAAGATTTAATTGCAAACCTTGGTACAAGCCAGGACACAGTGAGCGACAAGGCCTTTGAAGAAAGACTCAAAGAAGCCGAGAAAACTATTATGGACTTGCTGAGGGATGCTCAAAATATGCAAGGTAAACCACTGTCGCTTTGTTTTTGGTCAGCCGAGTGTCTGCCACATGCGGAAACCCATCACCGTGCTTCAGATTATCTAAATCAAACTGAGGGTTCCATATATGTATGCCATCTCCCTTTGAAATTTCCCTTTGGCGTGGAATACGCACTCTCTGCCTGTATCCTGTTTGCCTAATTCCAAGAATTAATAGGCGCAGATTGGCAAGAGGCGAGGCCTTTGGACCCCAGAGTGTGCGTTGGGGTATTGGAGGAGTCTAACCAGTTAAAACGGAATGGTTGCCATTGAAAGCAAGTGGCAAGCTGCTTTCCGCTGTTTGTCCAGCGAGCTATGTGTTAGGCTTTGCAGGGTGAATGTGAGTTGAGTGACGAGATTCTTGCTCCAAGTTTGCATCTTCCAAGTCCTGCTGATGAGGAGGTTGGCTGGGCCGTCATCAGCAATGCTTCAAGAAATGAAAACGCAGACTAGATTCTGACATTCCGATGCACAGCACATCACCTTGAAGCCCGCTCAACTCCAAGGAGACCTTGCTTACACCCCCACCCATACCTCCCATCTCCCCACCATGAATCTAAACATTGCTGAAACGTCGTACGTTTGAAAATGCACTTAGTCCTGGGAAAGCTTTTACAGCAAAGGTAGATGATGGGTTAATAACTAGCTTCCCAGGTGGCTCAGTGGTTAAGTTGCAGCATCTGATATGGTGCCAGGGACTGCAGATGACCTGATCGGTCAGAATTTTGTTCCTGATCAACACATGTGCGCTTAATATCCAGTGAATGTAGTGTTAGGCTCAGCAGGGATCATTCTCCCCCTTCTCTGAGGGAGATGGCATTTGGCTCAGTAAGCCTTCTCTTTTCATAGTTTTGTAGCTATGAGGAAATCACCTACCCCATGACGACTACTCGGGCTGACTAAAGAGCTTCAGTTTAATCCCTTCCGACCCTTTTGCAAACATCACATATTAGAAGCTCCCTGTTGTCAGATGTAGTTAATCCAAACTTTACTGATCTGATCCCTGATCCTTCATTACGAAGAATAGGCAAGGAAAAGGGTCCAAACAGATCAGAGGAAACTCAAACCTAAAACCTTGGACATGTTCAGCTGTGGTGAACTGCTCAAGGGCACCTCTCTGGTTTGTCAGTTAAAATGCGTTTCTGCCTGTTCCCCAGAGAGTTATAGGTCCAGGTTGGTATTGTTCTCTGGGCACCCTTGCTTTTGATGCAGTTTTGAAAGTACGGCACAAGTGAAAAGCATCAAAAGAATGAAGCCCAAAGACTCCTGTGGGAGCTGTCGGGTAGGAAGTGAAGACTAAAATTGTCAATCGGCAAATGTATCCTGTTTAACATAGACTTCGGACCACTTCAGCTGGATCCTGAAAAGCGGGAGCAGTTATCTGACAATTGACCTGGGGATATACATAATGTATATATATTGGTCTCTACTGCTCGACTAATGATTCAAAATCCCAACGTGGAGCTTGAACTTGGAGGTCAGGGAGCTGCCAGGCTGACACCTGAGCCAGGCGAGATGCACCTGTATGAAATGCACACAACCTTGTTTTAATGTATGTAGGTGTTGGACACTTGACTTCATGTGATTTTGTTTGTGTATGAAACAGAGGTGGACAACAGCCTGATGGACCGCCTGGCTGAAATTAACAACACGCTTTCCATTCAGTGGGGCCGTCTGCAGAATATAAAGGACACTGTAGATATCACTGATGACTTGGCATCGAGATCGACCAATCGGGTACGGGATGTGGAGCAAATGATCTCAAATTCACGCAGAGAGCTGGAAAAGGGCAAGACACTGCTGGGGAACTTGGTAAGTGATCGAATGCAAACCCTCTTGAGATGCCAACATTAAAAATCAGCGATTTTTAGCTAAATTAAGGCATCCGTAAGATTTTCCTTGTGGGGTCAGACTTGTGTGGGAAAACCCTTCGCCATACATAAGAACCTCCAAACCAAACCTCTGAGAGTTATACATGTGTACGGTTCCAGAGATGTTTCATGCCCAGTCACAGGAGCTCCCATCAACCTGGGCTCCTTTCAGAGCAGAGCTCCTATGGGTTAACTTGATGCATGGTATAGAATTATCAGGAGTCTCCATTTAGGCATCTTGATAATTGCTTTGCTTTCACATGGACAAGAGCCTTGCGTCTCGGCAGCTGGGACTGGTGTAACCTCGCAGCTCCACCTCCTAGCGATGTCTTATAGTGAGCACAAAGAAATCAATGAGTGGAAGATTTAATTGTTTTTTCACCTCCCTATCTCCCCCTTTCTTGCAGTCAATAGCAACACCAGATTCCAGTGGCGATCCAAATAACATGACACTTCTGGCAGAAGAAGCTCGGAAACTTGCAGAAATGTGAGTGTTGCATTGATGGCAATGTTCCATGGTTGGTACACTGCCCTTTCATTCTGTGGGCCTTCGGTATAAAGTAAACAGATCCCAGATGTTTGTGTGGGTGGGGGGTTGGGGTGGAGGTAAAGCATGTTCTCTGTTGGCTGCATGGATCCTGAAGGAATTAATTTGAGTAGCAGGGACAGGAGTTCAAAAGCTGGAATAATATTAGTTTCTGTGCATTGATGTTCTTTAATTCGAGATGACACCAAAGTCAAACTTGGGAAATTTTATTAATTGGTAGCATTGATGTGATCTCCCCCTGCCTTTCAGTATTGTTACCATAAAAGACAGGATATATGGGTACTTGTTGATCATTTTGGTACAAAATGAAATATACACACAATAAGTATATTGCATCTCCATATAAATATATATTATGCACACATTCCGCCTGCTGTCTCTCCCTTATATATAATATATAAACATACACATCCACATATATATTCGTATATATATCATATACATAATACATCATACAACCATCTTGTGTGTGTTTTGAGAAAGAGATAGCATGTGTGTTGATCGTGGTGAAGTGAAGGGTTGCTGACATTCCCCTCCACCCCTCTGAAGCTGAAAGATCAAGCAAGCACGGGCGAAGAGGAATCTAAACTGATTCCTTGTCAAGAGATTCCAATGTCCTTGTCGGGCATTCCCAGGTCAGATACTTAATGGGCTAAAACAGTGGTGGTCAACCTGATATATGGCATAAATCAAGAAAATGTATTTTGTTGGTGAGACCATAAAGGATGGCTACCACTGGTCTAGAGAAACTAAGAGAAACCTGTGGTACAGATCAAATGTCTGTTGATACAGCTGCTCTTCACTTCATACAGGCACCAGAAGGAGGCGGACAGCATCGAGCAGACTGCCAAGGATGCCAACGACACGTCCACAAAAGCCTATGACTTACTGCAGAAAACGCTGGCGGGCGAAAGCGAAATTACAAACAACATTAACGACTTGAATAGGAAGTGAGTGAGGGATATTTTCGTGGCCTGCTTGTGGGGACACAATATCAGCTTGGGCATTGAGGAACTTTGTGCACAGATTTGGAGGTCACCAATTGATGCCAATTCACCATCAGGAAATGAGTTTGAACATCCATGGGAGTTAGATCATGGGACGAGATTTTGAAGGGAATCTCGTACAAGGTTGGAGTAAGAGTGAGGACACTTTGTAGGTTAGGACTATTGTCAATTAGTGATCCAGTATAACCTGACTGAGCCTAATGTATGCCAACAACAACAATTTGCATTTATAATAACTCCTTTCATATCGAGAGGATGACTGACGCACTTCACACAGTTGATTGAGTGCGGGCTGGGGAGTTTAAGGTAACCAAAAGCATGGTTGATGAGACGGATTCTAAATTGCGTTGCCAGGTATAACGAAGCTAAGGCCATGTCCTGGGAGCTGGAAAAGCAAGCCACTAAAGTGCACAGTGACGCACAGGAAGCTGGAAACAAGGCCTTAGAGATCTACGCCAACCTGACCAGCCTGCCAGCTGTGGACACCAAAGCCCTGGAGGTTCGTGCTTTCCTGAACAATGTATTAAAAAAGAATCTTATGCCTTTGGGGGCTAGAGAGGACGTGCAGTGTGTTTGCAATGGTATAAGATGAGGTTTTTGACCATCTTCTGATTGGCTCAGGGCCTGCATGTCACCTGTATTTGCTCGTAGGACAATGAAGTTGACAATGGTTCATGAGACAGATGAAATCTTCCCTCGCCCCGCCAAATATTGCCCCCTTGTCCCCTAGTTGGACCTCCCTGGTTTAAACCATCCTGAACCTGAAGAGCTAAAGAACATTTGTTTCTCTCTATTAGAATAAGGCGGATAAGATAATGAAGGAAGCGATGGATCTGGATGATGTGATTGACAACAAACTGAAGAATTACAATGATATGCGAGATGACCTGAAAGCCAAGGAGACTGAAGTCAAGAGCCTATTGGATAAAGGAAAAACTGAACAGCAGGTACAACCCAGCTTTCAGCGGCAGGTCTGGGGTGGAGGTGGGGGGAATAACACAAACTTTCTACCCACTTTATCTCTCTTTCACCCCCCACCCTCCCCCATATTAAACAGTCTAAAACCCTTGAAATGGCCATCTCTTTCTCTTCCACACCCCGCTTCACCTGCACATTGGATCTCCTCTTTATTTAGGTGAGCTGGGTGCATAACTCATGTAGAAACTCTTCACCAAATTTAAGAGTATTCCATCCATGTGACCTATGCGTGACAATTGCTGTGTTTGGAATGCAATAACCCCCACTCCCGTGTGTAATAACCAAAAGAGAGTTTTGCTGAACTACCACCCACCAATTTAAGTAAATTATATCCATTGTATTTACCTGTTGCCTCAAAAAATCCTGGGTAGAGAGAGACATTAGTGTATGCAAATTGACTGCCAAAAATACAGTCACTGCACAGGACTGAACCTTCCTTTAGTCTCTTCTCAAACCCATCACAAGTAAATTATCCCAATAAAGGAATACAACATGTGTTCCCTTCACTAATCGCAAAGACTTGCTTATTTCCAGCCTAAGGGTACTTTTCCAAATCTCTTTTAAATTGAAGGATCATTTTCTTCACTTTCTTAGTCATCCTCGTGATAGCTGTTGCCATCTGTTTGCAATAGCAATGAGCAGGAATAATTGTAAGCTGTGCAAAAAAAATGTAAACTGGGAACATGAATAAATAGCGCTTGGTGCTTCTTAGTGACGTGATGCATCAATCCCCGAATTTACAGTGCTTAAGTTTTATTTGGGAATTTTGTCCGGAATCCATGGGCGACTGATGAGCCACAGACGTTCAGTCCGATCGATTCTCTGTCTCTTTAAGACGGCCGACCAGTTGCTAGCCCGTGCGGATGCTGCTAAAGCCCTGGCTGAAGATGCTGCCAAGAAAGGAAAAGCTACGCTGCAAGAGGCCCAGGATATTCTCACAAACTTGCAAGGTTTGTAAAGGGGTCTTTTTTCTCCAATAACCTGGAGTACTGAGCATCAACAGTGCCTCCGCTACTGACTGCTGAACCCAAAGTCAGCACTCATTCCCCTGATTAACTCCAATACTAGTTATGTTCATGTTAATTTTGCGTTTTCTTAAAGAGGAGGATTTATTGGCATTCTGCAGTAAACGCCTGATAACAGGGTCTCGGCTTGGCTTGGCAACTACCGCTTAGTTCATCATGTTGTCATAAACCTGGATGCATTTATTTATGTACTTGTGCATATGCCTAACTCGCCACTCTGGATAGTTCATCACTGAGCCATTTTCCCTTGGAGTGACGAGTTATCAGGAGTTTCTTGGAAGTTTCTTTACGTGTCGTGACTTTGAATTCATCTAGTATTTGAACACAAAATACATACAATCACACCACTTTACAGTATATTCTGTGAAACGCTTTGATGTGGCTCTTGGCATGATAAAGTGCTACATCAAATGCAAGGATTATTATAGTCCACACTGACACTCTAATACTATGGGGTGTGCTGCATTGTCAGAGGTGCCATCCTTTAGATGAGACGTTAAATCAAGGTTTCCGGCCTATTCAGGTGAACATTAAAGATCCCACAGCACCATTCGATAAGAGAAGGGAATTTTTCTCGTTGGGCACCCAAGCTGGAGATAGGAACCGGAGGGTGGGTGGGGAGGGGATAGATGCCCCAAAACACGGTCAAAGAGGTATGTTTTGGGACAAGTCTTGAACAGGGGAGGGAAGGAACAAATTGGAGGGCCTCCAGGATGGAGAGTCAGAGAATGGGGGCTCAAAATGTTTGAAAGCTCGCCCGCGGATGATAGGGTGGGAAGGGTGGGGGATGTGAAGCAGGCTGGTGCTCGCTGAATGAAGAGAACGGCTGGTTGGGTAGGGTTGAAGGAGGTCCCAGAGATAGCATGTGGTGGGACCGTGGAGAGATTTAAAAGTTGAACACGATCCTCTGGGGAACTCGTGCACAGTAAGTGAAGAAACATCAACCAGCGATTGTGCCCAGTTATAGCTCTGGGTAGGATTTTATGGATCCTCAGACTACAGCATTTATGGTACAGCAAACTCCTGATAACTCATCACTCCAAGGGAAAAGGGCTCAGTGACAGGACTCCACTGTATGCACATTACCAGAAATTGACAAATCCTCAGTTTACCGCAGCAATTCTAGTAACTGTGATGGTCTGTTTGTCATGGGCAGATTTCGACAAGAGAGTGAATGACAACAAAACAGCAGCCGAGGAGGCATTGAAAAAGATTTCCAGCATTCAGGACACCATAGATGCCGCCAGTGCCAAGACGAAGCAGGCAGAGGATGCCTTGGGAACCGCAAGAATGGACGCCTCGGCGGCCAAGAAAACAGCTGAGGAAGCAGAACGAATTGCAACTAAATTGCAGACGGTAAAGTGACAACTACAACAACTTGCATTTAGCTAGCGCCCTTCACGCGCGTAGCATCTCGGACCTCTCTCTGTGTGTCAAGCCTGGCACAGTTGGTAGCACTCTCGCCTCTTGAGTCAAAAGATTGTGGCTTTAAGCTCCACATCAGGATTCATAGTCTGGGCTGACACTCCAGCAAGTTGCTGGGGTGACCCTCTGCATTGTTGGAGGTGTCTCCCTTCGGATGAGATGTTAATCCGAGGTCCCGACTGCCTGTTCAGGTGAACATTAAAGATCCCGAGGCATTATTCGAAAAGAGAAGGAGGAGTTTCTCCCGGTGTCCTCGACAGCAATCCCACAGATTAAATCAGTCGCTTACTTCATGGCTGTTTGTTGAACGTTGCTGTGCACAAACTGGCTGCCGTGTTTCACCCACAAAACACAGTCACTCCACTTTACAGTAAACCCTGCAAAGCACTCCTACCGGATGCTGCGTTAAATGTCCGTCCGACAACTTTCTTTCATTCTAGAACGCTGCAAAAACCAAGCAAGACGCGGACGACACCTTTGACAAGGCCATGAAGTTGGCAAATGAAGTGAACGACATGAAGCAGCAAATGAACGAAGTGGAGGATGAACTGACGGCCAAGCAGACCGAGGCGGACCAGGACATGATGATGGCGAATATGGTGAGATTTCAAATGATTGGCTCTGGAGGTTTCAGTGCGGAGGATAAACCGCGAATGACTGTCATCTCGCTTTGTAATTCCTCTCTGAATTAATGCTTAAATGGAGCCGTAAACTCGCTGAGATTTCGCCCACAAAATGCAGTCAATTCACTTTACACTGCATCCTGTGAAGCACTTTGAGACATCTCGAAGACGTGATAAGGCGCTATATCAAAAGCAAGGATTATTATTCTTATTTTCTTAGAGCTACCGTGGGTTCCCAGGCGTGTTCTAAAGTGATGTCTGGTCAGAATCGGCTGCTCGGGCTGTTGCTAATGTTGCCACGTGGTGTTTTCAGGCTTCACAAGCTGCCCAAGAGGCTGATGAAAATGCACGAAAGGCCAAGAAAGCTGTGCAGAACGTACTGAACACAGTCAACAAGCTGCTGGGAGAGCTGGGTATGTGTTACAGGAAGCCCGGCTCAGGCCGGCCACACAGAACGTTTCATTTTTGCAGTGTTTTGTAGAATTGCACAGTTGATTTGCACGCCTCATTTTTCTCTTCCCACCCACTACATGCATGCACCTGCGTATTCGTCCTTTCTCACGCTCTTGCACAACTTCTCTCTCTCTCTCTCCCTCTCTCTACTGCTCTCTCAAAAACACGCTTACAGCCAGAAATCAGGTTAAACATAGTAATGTGTGACAAGCAAGCTGAATGAGTCATTCACATGGTCATGCCTGTTTGTGGTTATTTGCTGGCACAAAACTGGGTTTGTCTCCACAACCGATCACTACACTTGACGGCAATCACTTACAAAGAGCTTTAAAGCGTTTGGCTGTAACCGGGCACTGTAAAGTACACTCCAGATAGCATGAGGCATTTCCCTAGTATTTATTAAGGGGACAAATACTTTCAAGTAACAACTATTTGACACACGCTTTTGGTCATCTTTCCCCTCCCCAACTCCCTCAGACCCCACCCACAGTTCAGTTGCCAAACTAGGATTGTTCAGTGCCTTTAGGGCTATGTAAATTTGTATTGTGTCGTTTGTACGAACGGAAGCCTTGAGCTTTGACTTGATCGTGACTCCCACCATGCCTCCCTGTATTCAGTTGCCTTGTTTTACTTGTTGACCAGTTGGAGAAGCTCTGGGAGTTGAGTGGTGGGGAAGGGGATTTGTATGATTTCCATAAACTTTCAACAAATCTGGACAAATCCTCACTTGTGATTAAACCGTTGACAAAGGCAGCGTTAGATTTCTGTTTAAAAAGAAAAAGTGAAGGATTTTAACATTGAGAGAGACGCAGTTCCCAAGAATGAAGGCAGACTCGAGCATCACAGAATCACAATTTTATTACAGGCTTCTACGCAGAAGTTGACATTTTTCTCGATATCATAAATAACCCCATTTGAACACTAAACTCTCAGGCGAGTGAAAGCAAGGTTTACAAACGACTTGCAGTTTAGCCAGGAACAATTTGTTTTGTTTAGTTTTTTTTTGGTTGCTTTGCAAAGCCAAAGCTTTTTGGCGTACATCTCTGTGCAAGAGCTGGGAACGAGATGAGGGAACATTCCCTTCAGATTAACGAGTCATTCACATGGTGGTTGCCTGTGGGACACTGCTGTGCGCAAATTGGCTGCCAAATTCGCCTACAAATATGCAATACAAAACAATAGCAATGTACATTTATAAGGCACCTTTCACGTTGGGAGGACATCCCAAGGTGCGTGACATTCCTGGCTTGGCACCCGAGCTAGGGGTGGGGAGGGGAAAGATGACGGAAGGCGCAGTTAAAGAGGAAGGACTTGAGATGAACCTTGAAAGAGGTGTGGGAGGGAACAAGTCGGAGGGACTCTGGACTGAAGTTCCAGGGAGTGGGAGCAGATAGGCAGTAAGCCAATAGTGACCGGGGGGGGGAGGGGGTGTTGAAGCCAGCTGCTGAGCAAAGGGAGTTGTCCCACTGTACGTTAAAAACTTGATGGAACCCTTTGAGACGTTTCGATACAATATGGCACTATTATCAGATGTGAAAGTTGTTGTTATTATTATGGCTCTGAGGTCCTTGAATGTAAAGATTTGTAAAGACTAACTTGTTCCACGACTAACAAAGCAACTCGTAGTAACTGGCAGCTGTTTATTTTCCGTTTATTTTTTTTCCCCTGAGTTACAATCTTACAGAGCCAAGCTACACAGTGTTGCTTTGTTGACGCTGCATTCGAGTCTGACAGCACACGAGAAGATAATTTAGTGCGTGGAAACTTTCCACCTCCTCCATGTGCCCAGAGCCTTCCTTCTAAAGCATTTCTCACCTTCCTACAGCAGATAATCTAAGCAGATGCCCTCGGTTGTTGGCCAAAGTTCAGCTGTCTATACTATCAGTCTGAATGAATGTCCTTGGTTCATCTGCGTACACAGCCAACCTTTGTTGGATTTTAAGTGTTCAAAAGGAAGGTGGGGAGAAAATTGCGACAACAGGTCTTGACAGACAGAACCCCTGGGAAAGTGGCTTTACGTTTTTGTTTTATTAAAGGGATTCGTCCTCCCAATCGTGCAGTGGATAAGCCCAGCGACCGAAAGGTGTCTGTTTTGATGCCAAATTTGGTGATCTCAGCCTGGGTGGCATGTTGTAAAGCAATCACCTTTAGTGCATCCTCTTCCCTTCCTCCATGGGCTTGGGGGAGCGAGGGAATTCACTGCTCAAAATGGTATCCAGTAACATCTATTGGGAAATTTGTATATGTGGATACCTGGGGAGATCAGGATCTGCGTTTGGTGTCCTCTCGAGGCTCTTGGAATAAATGGCCAATTCTAAGGCTTATTAGAGCACTTGCCTCGCAAGCGAAAGGATCTGGATTGAATTCCTGACAGGGTGAAACGTCAGGCAAGTTTCCATACTCCACACCAAGGAATAAGTAGGAATCCAGCTGTTAGTCAATTGGCGGATCATTTTTCTGGGGGTAATAATCCTTTAAAAATAATAATAATCTTATTAATTTGGTCACTCAATCCACAACTGTTTGTGGGATACTGCTCTTCACCGATAAAATATACAGTCAATTCACTTTACAGTATATCCTGAAGCTCTTTAAGACGTCTGGAAGATGTGATAAGGCACTATATCAAATGCAAGGATTATTATTATTGTTTATTATAATTAACCAATCCACTGTCATTCGAAAGGACTATTTTTTCCTTCATACAGGCAAATTCTAATTCCTTTGGATGGACCTTGTGTGTGCTCTATTTGCAGGTCAACTGGATAATGTGGATGTAAGCAAGCTGAAGGAGATTGAGGAGACTCTCAACAAGGCTAAGGATCAGATGAAGAACAGCGATTTGGAACAGAAGCTGGAAGATCTAGACAAAGCTGCCAAGGAGCAAGAAAATGCAATAAACGCCTATGGCCAAGACATTATTGATATCATCAAGGACATTGAAAACCTCGATGACATCAAAAAAACGTTACCTCCAGGATGTTACAATACCCAATCTCTGGAGACCCCATAGTTAACCTCTTGTTCACCGTGTCCTATCCATTACCTAAAGTGACAATGTATGGAGAATTGTCTTATTACCAAAATTTCTCAACGTCAGACAACATCATTCAAAGTGTTCCAAGGCTCATAAATGAAACTCCTCAGGCATCAAATGCAGCTGCTTGGATGAAGCGTGAGACTGTGGACTTTGGGGTGGGTGAGAGTGACATACCTACAATGGCAAGCTTCTGCGATTTTCCCCCAGATGAACTGAGTCCATGTTAAAAGGGACTGCCTGAGAAAGCCACACTCCACGCGCCCGATTTACTCTGCGCCATTAGACTTGTTGTGAGATGTCAGACCTGAAGTTGATGTACGCACAGAGAGAGAGAATGAAAAAGCGCTGACGAATATGCGGTTTAATCTGCTGCAACAAAAAGGAGAGGGCCAGCTTCAATTAGTGTAATGGTGTTTTAGAGCAAAAAAAATCAATAAGCTATTACTGTAGGTCTGTTCTCTCCTCCTGCTGTACAGAGGCACCGTATCTCGATTGCATTCACATCACTGAATATGAACATATCTTTCTAATGTATTTCTTCCCTCCCTCTCTTCCCCACCCCATTACACACAGCAAATGTTGAGACTTAGCTGTGAAGGATCATAGCTTATCATTAACCTAATGCATTTCTTCCTCACTGCTCATTAAAAACACACATCACTGTAGGGTAGCAATAAGTCACTTTGTAAACGCTGTATACAGTATTCATGACATAAACCTGATGAAACACCGTGAAAGCTGGTCTTCTCATTGGAAAAGCCAAATTATTTGTTTAACACTAATGCTCCCCCCCATTCCTCTTCCCTGGTCGCTCCATCCTCACTTACAGCTATTTGGTAACAGAAGTCAACATTTTCCATAGAATCCAATCCCATGGACAACTGTACTTGTCAATTCCCAAGATCGCTGCTTCATCAATGTCAATAACTAAAAGCAGAACTGTTTTTATATATACACACACATACACACACACAGCGACACTCTATGCAACTTTGTACATTGCGTAGCAAAATTTACCTGATACACTGGTGCTATTAATTATTTCAAATGTTATATTTTTGTGTGAATGTGTTTTTTTTATCATGGAATAGAGTGAGAAAATGTCTTTTTGTTTTTCTTTTTTGTCTGTGTAAATATACTCAATGTTTCAGGACTGGCTCTGTGAGTTAACCCTCTCCACCCTCAATTCCCCCCCCCTCCTCCTCCCCAACACAAACATACATACCGTTTCAGCAATAGTAACCAAATTTTAAACTGGCTTCCAACTGTTTTGCATCCTATTCCTGTAGTATTGTGTTCTGCTTGCTTGTATACACAGCCTAGTTATTGTTTAATAGACCTGGCTTAATATTTTTTCTTGTGGTGTTCGTTCACCAACCCCGCACCCCCGCCTCACTCCGAAAAACTAATAGTAACGTGTAAATGTATTTCAGTATGTCGAGATTTGAATGGCACCCTCCCCCCCCACCGAGTGTTAATACACCCTCACCCTCTCACCCTCCTCTTTATACTTAGATTTTGTTGTTTTTCTTAAATAAAAAATATTTACAGAAAGGTGCTTCATACCATTCACCGTGTTCAGAAGTTTGATATAAAAGGCCGGAAATCAAAAAGGTTTGTCAGGCTGAGCCATTGATCCGTCTACTTCAGAGCGAAAGTCATGGCCTTTTTTTTTGCCCTATAACCCTGACGGTGAATTGCCAGCCAGATTAACTCCTGCAAAATTAATTTTGATGTAAAATTTAAATCAGTGTTTGCCTGCGTCTTTTTTTTTGGTCTGTCCGTGCCTTCTGGCCACAACATAACTCTTTTAACTACTATACCCTGTTCAAATATTATTGCTAGTTTACTTAATAATCGTCTATAAATGCACACAGTTAACGCCTGAACCTATCACCAAATTGGTTTTTTACTATAAGTGGGAGGGGGAGGGGGGTGCAAGATTTATCTAATAAGCACTGGGCAGGTCTAAATGGTTGCACGCTCTTTCCCAATACTGTACCTGAGACAAAGGAGATTCATTTCGAATCGGAAACTCACCAGTTGTAGCCTCTACCTGTGGCTGTGCTTAGCGGATGCAGCAGCTTTTTTTTAGTTAACGTTTCCTTTTTTACAGCAGTAACTCTCTTTAGTATTTATCATGCAAGGAAGCGAATTAACGGGGGAAAAAATTATGGCGCTTGATCGTCCACCAATCGCACTGAGCTATTCACGTGTTGAATGGAGAGACGTGATGAGCACCTGGTATTTTTCAACTGTGAGAGCCAGATCAGTACTGTCTATTCCTATGACTTTATGTTTAGCCTTTATGCCTTAAAAACGACACCACGCTGTTGGGAAAGACGTGCAACACGTATACAATTTTATGTATAAAACAGTATTTCTTATTTATAAGTCGCAATATTTGTAATCTTTATCCAGGTTTTCCTTGTGCGTTGCACATTCTCGTTTGTAATGGTGTGACTTGAAACACTGCTTTCCTTAAGATCTATCTCGACCCAACGCAGTGGCCAAAACGCCTGGCAGATTATTGTTTAATACCATTTTGTTTTGCCTGTAAATCAAATTGTACCATTTAAATAAATAAATAATGTGGTATTACAGGAATCGTGCATTCAGATTGGTCAACATTGTTATATTGGATGTTCTTGAAGCTTTGTGTTTTAACTTTCAGCGACTTTTAGCCCCATCCACCAACCTCCCCATTCACACCTAGTCTCCAGTATTCTCTCTCAAACATCCCTTCGCCTTGTGCCTTCTTTCTCTGTTTTCAAAGTCCTCCTAAAAACCTCTTTTGCGACTTGCCTCTTTGACGGTGCTTTTGATCATCTTTTCATATTCCCATCCTATTCGGGGAATTCTTGTCTCTACCAGCTCAGAGGCTCAGCCAGCAGTGTAAAACTCTTCTTACACGTCGTCCTGGAGTGAAAGACAACAACAGTAACATTTGTATAGCTCCTTTCATGTCGGGAGGATGTCCCAAGGCGCTGGATAGGGGAGGGTGGAAGGCAGGGAGGCAAGCAGGGGGATCGAAAGCACGGTCGAAGAGGAGGGTCTTGAGATGGTTCTTGAAGGAGGCAAGGGAGCGGGCGAAGTGGACGGACTGCGGGATGGAATTCCAACGGGTGGAGGCAGAGTGGCAGAAGGCCTGCCCGTCAATGGCAGGATGGTAGGCGGGTTAGGAGGTCACAGAGGTAGGGAGGAACAAGGCCAAGGAGGTCTTTGAAGATGAGGAGCAGGATCTTGAACTGTATCCTCTTGTGTGATGGGAAGCAAGTGGAGTCGGGCGAGGATGGGGGTGATAGGGTCATGGAGCCTAGTGCAGGAGAGGATACGCGCTGCAGAGTTCTGAATGCTCTATGGAGGGAGAAGTTGGAGAGGCCAACAAACAAGGTGTTTACATAGCCAAGTCTCAATGTTATGAATGCATGTATGACGGTTTGCGGTGTGAGACAGTGGCGACGTTGCGGAGATGGGGGAAGGCAGAGCGGGTCATGGCACGGATGTGGGGTAGAAAGGATAGTTGAGTGACAAACAAGACGCCAGGTTCCGGACTGTGTAAGACACTGTATAAATGTAAATTGTATTGCATTAAAACCCATCTCTTTGCCTTCAGCGAACATCTTCAAACCCCAACCCCTGCCTCCCACCCTGCTCAATGCTCCACACCATCCCTATGAAACGCTTTGATCGTCTTCCCAAAACCCAGTTGGAGTTAAACTGGAAGGGCGGGGAGGAAGATGGTAATCAAAGGCGCGGTTGAAAAGATGGATCTTAAGGTGGAGAGGAGGGGGTGAGGTGGAGGGACTCCCAAGAGCGGGGACAGATGGCTGAAAGCTTGCCCAATGATTTGGGAGGGGGGGGAGACATGAAGCTGTTGGTGTGTGCAGACTAAGAAATCAACACCTCCTCAAAAGGACTTTTTATTAGGTTTTTTTTGTTAGATGTGAACTCTTCACTTTCTTCAGTAATCTGACGGGAGATAATACCTAAACCTCTGCAGCGAGTAGCTAAGACGTTCCTGTTCTGGGAATGGAAGCACCACACATCTGCTGCTTAGTTTACCCAGCTGTGCTTGGGAACCAGGCCTGCAAATCTGCTTGCAGTTAGGAGATGGATCAGGAGGGCAGCTCTGTTGTAAGAATTGCTGCATTGCCAGAGGCACCCTCCCCCAGTGACACAACACAGTCAGTCGGCTTAAAGATCGCTTTTCTGAGGCCCGTACTGAGCTGACCTGGCTCTGCACGCTCGGTGTAAAACACCCCTGATTGAGGTGTTTCAAATGATAAAGGGATTTGATAGGGTAGATACAGAGAAACTATTTCCTCTGGTGGGGGAATTCAGAACAAGGGGGCATCATCTTAAAATTAGAGCTGGGCTATTTAGGATTGAAATTAGGAAACACTTTTTCACCCAAAGCCTTTGCATGAAAAAGTGGAGAACTGGAACTCTGCCCCCAAAATATATTTATTTTTATAATCATACACACATATAATATATATTATCCTTTGGATAATATATGTTATATGTGTATAATTATCTGTGTTCTTTTAGCAGAGATGTATGTATACAAGTATATGTGCTCTTTTTGTGGTTGGAGAGCAAAATGGATAATCATATTAATCCTTGAATTTAATATAGAAATATAGTGCCTTATCACATTGTTGCCTGTTATGTTACCAGTGCTCTTGCCTGCTCAGCCTCCACCATCTCTGGACAAGCTTTCAGCCATTCTGACCTTTCCTCCCTGGATCCCAGCACGAGTCCTGTTGCCCCAAGAGAGGAGAGCAAACAACTTTTTGTTTTCAATCCAATCCTTCTGTCCCATTGTAGGCGCTTTTGTTTATTTGGTATAAATATTTGTTAAATTTTCTCCATTGTTTGTTTCTCTGGTCAACATTAAATCTTATGTTCATCTTAAACAAGCCAGGGAAAGGGCCCAGGCTTCAGGTTTTAGGTTGAAAGGCCAGACTCCAAGAATGTTCAACAATAAGAGCATCAGGATGGGTGGAGGGTAGGAGTAGAACTGAGGTACAGATCTAATAGAATAGGAGCCTGTTCCCCTCTTTAAGAACCAAGTAATGGCTTTACTAACTGTGCTCTTGGGAGGGGTTGCAACTTCTAAAATCATTTGTTAATTTAATTTTTTTTCGGTAGCAAGATTTTAAGATTGCAAGTTGGCTCAGGACATACAGAGATCATGAGAAACCCTGGCATGTAGACAATATATTCTAAAGATCTTCAGGCTAGTGCTCACCAGATGAAAGCATAGCTTTTTGTTGGTGGGGTGGGGAGCATGTGCATTGATGAAACATTTGTGCTGCATCAAATTACATTTCCCATAATATTAAAAGAATTTGAAAACTATGCCGATGGCATGCTTACAATAATCCTGGCATCAAAATGTATCACATCCAAGGCTGATCTTCCCTCACCTAAAGTATGCATTAAGCAGCATTGGATAGTCATCATGAGTGGTAGCCCTGACTGATACTTCAGTGCGTTACGTTGTCTGAGAGGCCATCCTTAGGATGAGTCGTTAAACCCAGTTCCCGTCTCCCTTTCCAGGTGGGTGTTAAAGGTCCCATGACACTATTCGAAAAGAGAAGGGAGTTTCCTCCGGTGTCCTGGTCTACAATCCCCCCAAAAATATTCATTACTCACTCCATGGGTGTTTGTGGGACATTGCTGTGCATAAAACTAGCTGCTGCATTCATCCACAAATGCACAGCCACTCCACCTTATAGTATATTTAATGAAGTGCTTTGGGACGTCCTCCTGATGTGAAAGGCACTATACCAAACACAAGGATTATTATTATTTTTATAACTCTGCTTCCAACCCTACCTTTGACTGGGTTTGCCGTTATCTTTCCCTCTGCACGGCCCAGCTTGGGTATCCAGCCAGCTGTGCAAAGCACTTTGAGATGTCCTCCCAGCTTGAAAGGTGATATTTAAATGCTAATTGTATTGCACTGTAACTCTAGTGCTCGCGGTAATGCCACCCAGCTTAGATCAACTTGTTCAATAAAGATCAAACTTTGAACCTCGCCCACAAAATACACAGTACAGTATATACTGTGAAGTGCTTTGGGATGTCTCCATGACCTGGTACGGCGCTATATCAAATGCAAGGATTATTATTATTATCAGCTCATTTGGTAGAGATCAAATCTTGAACTTCGCTGCTCTGTATGTGTCCATTGGACATTAAGCAGCACCCCATACCATGCCATTATTGGGAGCAGATGATGTGAATCTGCGGCTGACCAGAAAGTTGGGAGAGGACAGGGACTCGATCTCTCTTAGTAAACAGCTAGGAATGTCTGAAATCCCACTGACTCATCCCATCTGTATCCGAGTGTGAAATATTATTTCTGGTGATTTGACGCTCGCCAAGTTTGTTCCAGCATCTCTAATTCAAAAAGCTAAGCCACATTGTTTGGTCTATTTTTTTAAAAAAAAAGAAATAAGAATTCCTTATCTTTCCCGAATAATATAAATTCTAAGAGGCAAAAATACAGCAACCCAGCTGTTCTATGGTAAAGGAGAAATGTCCGGGCCAGTGCTATGTGTGCTACAAAGAGTGTCGTGGTTCCCAATTGACCCGGACCTTTGGGAATATCAGACAAATGTTTCTCCATGTGAATTTCTTCACACAGAGAGAATTGTTGGGATATGGAATGCCCTGCCAAGTTAGATGGTGGAGGCAGAGTCCATTGTGGGTTTCAAGAGCGAAGTAGAAAGATAAAGTTTTGAGGGGATGCAGTATAATAATAATAATTCTTGCATTTGATGCAGTCTTATTACATCACTGAAACGTCTAAAAGAGCTTCACAGAATATATTGTAAAGAGTATTGATTATGTATTTTGTTGGCAAAAAGCAGTAGCCAATTGTCCCACAGCACTGGCTCACAAACAATCGTGGATTAAGTGACCATAATTTTGGGGGAAGGGATTATTTATTATTATTATGTGGGGATAGGGTGAGCTCTGAGAGTTAGTGCAGACTAGCTGGGCTGAATGGCTTCCTTCTTCACTGTAAATTTCTATGACTCTATGATCGTGTCAGCCTGGCTCAGTCAGTGCCACTCAACGCCTGGCCTCCCATTTGGGTCCCACTTTGAACTTTTGAGGATTGAGGTTTGTCTTTTTGCCTCCTTAACCTTCGCTCCCATCACTATCTTGCTTCCACTGCCGTTTGCTTTCAGAGGAGCAATCAGTGGATGGAAGAGGTAAGTTCTCAGACTCAGGCTACAACAAGACAGGTCGAGGCTTTGAGCTCTGACCTGCCACAAACATCAGTGGCTGGTTTAAGAGACTGCTAACTTCAAATATTTTCCTTTATGTAAAAATAATTTTAAAAAATAGAATTGTACGTGGAAAGGAGGCAATTTCTTCCCATGAATGTATCAAGATAAGGCCGGGTGTCAGCTTGGCTCAACTGATAACACTGTGAGTCAGAAGGTTTTGAGTTCAAGGCCCATGTCAGGAAATCTGAGCATGTGGTCTATGTTGACACTCCAGTGCAGTGCTGGGGGAGCGCTGTATTGTTGGAGGTGCCATCCTTCGGATGAAACATTAAACTAGTATCCAACCTGTCTGTT